TTAGTACGCGGAGCAATCTGTAGAGCTGGAAGCTGAGAACTGGCGACTTTGTAGTGCAACTTTAGCACGCGGAGTATCTGGCACGCTGGACGATGAGAACTGGCGACTGTGTAGTACAACTGCAGTACGCGGAGCATCTGGGGAGCTGGAAGATGAGAACTGACTGGCGACTTTCTAGTACAACTTTAGCACGCGGAACAACCTGTGGAGCTGGAAGCTGAGAACTGGCCACTTTGTAGTACAAGTGTAGTACGCGGAGGAGTCATCTCTCGCTGCTGAGTCAGCTCTCGCTGCTGTGAGTCATCTCTCGCGACTGAGTCATCTCTCGCTGCTGAGTCAGCTCTCGCTATAGCCATCTCTCGCGGCTGAGTCATCTCTCGCGACTCAATTATCTCTCGCTGCTGAGTCATCTCTCGCGGCGTGCAGGTTTGGCACAGTTCAAACTGATAGTATTTGGTTGCATTTATGCAGGACAGGACATTCAACTGCTGGTCAATACACCACTCATCATACACCACTCAGCATACACCACTCATCATACACCACTCGTCATACACCACTCAACATACACCACTCGTCATACACCCCTCTTGTCGTGGCAAAGATACAACCCAGTACGCTGTTGTGAGCTGCTGATCCTGCAGGGGGCACACACCTTACACACGTGGAATCCCGTGGGTCAAAAGTCCGGAGCGCGTGCGTTTGACTGGAGGACGCGCATGTTGTAGAGAACGTGGACACTCCTATGTCAATTTCTTCTTATATGAAAAATCCGCGGCCGGCTTGCCCGGGAACTACTTGTATATCATATATCTTTGTATATCTATAGCATTATATAGAGCCGCGGGGCCCAAAGGCCCGAAAGCTCGGGCGAGACGGGCGTCCAGGGCGGGTTGTGTGGTCCCAAGCCACAGGTCCGTGTTGATAAGGAGATCGCCAACGTTCTCTCCCTTTTGTACACGTGGTCTTTGGTCTTGGTGATCCGACTTGCTGCCTCTGTGTCTAGCCATGGAAGCTGCTTTGGCCGTTGCTGACAGCATACTGCATGATCCACTTGGGACATCGGTGAAGACCCTGCTGGTCAATGCAACGACTCCAGGCCCTGACTTGGTGCTGGATGATCGGTTTGTATTGTGTGGAGAGGTTGTTTCCGCAATGCAGGAGGAGTTGGTTTTGGCCATTCTTCCCTTCACGCCATTTCGTGGGTTTGAAGCTGCTTCTGGTGAGGAAAAGATGGTTCAGGTGATGATTCCGGAGTTGGGTGCTCATTCTATCCATTGTGCTGGAGTCCAAGTGATCTGTGCAGGGAAACCTGTCTTCTGGAATGAGAGCCGATATGAGTTTGATCGACAGGTTGTGATGACCTTCAAGCCGGAGTTCAAGGATCTGATGCCGCGGAGTTTTCTCCAATTATTTTGTGGGTCCTTTGCTGGGTGGAGCCAAGCAGCGAGCTTTCTCCATAGCGCTGACAACACCTTTTCGCTGGGACAAGAACTGTCGGTTGACAATGATGAAACGGTGATGCAAATCTGGAGCGCCCGAGCTGGCAGTATGCACTTCAGCAGCCCAGTTGCTTGTCGCCTGCTCAGAAAGTCGGGATCCTGGCCTCTGTCAGTGATTGGTCATTGATCAACCTATGTCGTATCCAAGCAAATCTTTGCTGCGCAATGTCACCACCTTGCCAAAGTTGGTCTCGGGCTGGCAAGCGCAAGGGGCTCCAGGACAGCAATGTTTGGGCTTTCATCCATGCCATCGAGTTGGCAGCAATTGCCCAGCCAGTGGTTGTAGCCGCGGAGTGCAGTGATGAAATCACTGAGCACCCACATTTCAAGATCATTGAGGCTCTGTTTCAAGCTCTTGGATTTCGTAGGACTTGGACACAGGTCACACCGTACCAGAATTTAGCTGACCAAGCCAGGTACGTTGGCTCGCCACGTGGGCGAGGGCTGATGTTCAGGCCCAACCAATTGGATTTTCCTTCACACTCAAAGCTCCCAAAACGCCTTGGGATGACCCGTTGTACCACTTCCGACTTCCCAAGGTTTGGGTCAACCAGCTGGTACTTTCTGAATCTGAGCAAGTGATTTATGGTGACCCTTTCCTTCTTCCTGGTCACAAACAGAAGAGGGACGATGGGGACAACAGTGTGAGAAATCATACTTTGTGGGCCAGGGTCCAGGGTTCCCAAAGGCCATGAACTACTCCCTACGCTCTGTGCCGCATACTCTTCGCAGCACACCCTTTCCAAGGGGCACATCCATGACCGTGGACTTTTCACCTTCCTGAATCATACTTCACGGGGGTTTGAGTTCTTTGACCCTGCAAGGTTTTGTGGCCTCCTTGGAATGACTGAGGATGGAATCATGCCTACTAAGGTACAAACAGCATTCAGAGGCATTGGCAATGCCATTTCGGTCCCCCATGGACTTTGGGCACTTTCGATTTCCATGCGCGCAATTGGACAGACATGCATTGATCCTCTCAAACTCGTCCGTGATGCCTGGCAATCACGCCTTTGCGCTAGGAATGCCATCTTGTTTGAACGTGAGGCCTTTGTCCATTTGGTGCGAGTCCAGCATCTTGCTCAATGGATTTCTGTCAAGCCCAGTTTCACTGTGCCCCACTGTGATCATCTTGTCTTTGAGGTAACCATCGCACATCATCAAGCCTGTGCGTGTGTTTCCCGAGCCGTCACCTGTTGCCAGTTGCTACACAATGCTTTTGAGGGACCCAAAGCTTTGATTGACCAGCTTTCTTTTCGGTCCTCCGAAGAGTCTCTGCGTTCGCATGCAAGCATTTCGACACTTGCCGAAGCCAATGTCTCTTGGGACATTATCGCTGCAGGGACCCCTGTTGGTTCCTGCCAGTTTCGAATCCCTGCCCGTACTGAGGTCATCGAAGTTTCTGATGGTGAAGAAGTTTGCCGGCCGCAGCAGTACTCGATTGCTGAAGATGATGATTTTGATCGCACCTGCCAACTTGATTGGTTTCAAGGCATCCTCTGGCAGTGTGACCGCATTGCTGACTCGTCACACCATGACCTTCGCATTGTTTTTCTGCGAGCAATTGGTGCATGTGATCTTCATCTTCAAGGCACCAGTGATGAAATCAAGCGAATTGCAAATGTCACTGCCGGTGATGGCTCAATCCAGACAACGACCAAGATTCTGCTCGGCGCTGACTCACCTCACTGCGAAGAGAAGGTGTTGGTCATTCTCCATTTCTATGACCTTGACCGATTCAGGCTTGTTGAACTACCTTCGTGCATCTCG